TTATTATTTTATTTATTTTTAATAATTATTGAATAATCAGTTTTGTACATGGTTGTAACTCAAAACAAGTTCAAGAAATAGTTAAACAAACTTTCATGTACATGATGTTATTTAAATAATTAATTAGAATTTGTAAATATTGAAAAGAAACGTTTTAACTTTTGAAGGAAAGAATAGAGAAAATTTTACAGAAATTAATTGAAATGTGTCAATCCATAAAAAATAACCTAAAAGTTTATACAAAAACATTTCGTATCATTATTGCATGCAAATAAAAAATATTAGATCCGAAGTTTACCATATTGCATCGATGGCTATCGTTATTCATTAAGGAAATAATTAATGAAACATGACTAGGATATTAAATGTTGAAATCTATACCCGTTTTAGACAAGTAACATGTCAAAAAATGGTTTTTTTCTACACCCGTATTATAATAATGCACTTATATGCCCATAATCCGTTTCATAATGATACCCATTATGATACAGATTTTTCATTACGATACAGATTTTTAATCAATAGAAACCTACAATTTTTCAATCAAGCATGCTGTTTGACGTTTGTCCTAGGTTCCTATGTAATTATTTTAGTTGTCAAAACGTATTAAATTTTCGTAGGTAGCTAAACTTCGATAATTATAATATTAAAATGTCTGATATTAGCGATATAGAAGACTCCTCCACACATATCGGAGAAAGCAGAAAATACAGTACAAAATATTTTACCGCAAAAATCTAGGGAAATACCAATACCTGAAGTAATACCATTAATTACAATTTTGTAGAATTTTTTATAGAAATACGAGTAATTACTGTTATTGTGTTCAATACCAATATAAATATAATATTTATAGGTCTTGATTATTTATCGGGTGTAGAAAAAATATCGTATGCAACTCTCATGTAATGGTTATTAAAACACTCGCATAAACCATACGAAACTCGCCTTTGGCTCGTTTCGTATCCCGGTTAATGCTCGTGTATTAATAACCATCATTACATGATCGTTGCATAATATACTATTTTTTACAATCCACAGAACCAGAATCCCTACAAGGATCAAAGCTATGACCAGAGATAACAGAGATATAACCATTCATTGAAAAAATATAATATTTACGATGCCAAGATAAAGTCGATAATCGATACACTCTATTTGTAGGTCCGCGGTGAGAAGACGAAAGGTGAGAAGTAAGAGAGGAGATAAAGAGGATGATTTTACGCAAATACATTTATTTTAGTGAAATTACGTTTAATTTAGTTAAATTTGATATTACTGATAAATTCAAAATTTTTTGGGTTTAGTTGCAATAAAATAGTTTGAATTATTTTAGCTTTTTTAATATATGTAAATAATTTTGTAAACAAAATGAGAATAATGACATATGCATATGACAACAGCGGATATTATACCCTCCTGTGTCCCTTAGAATGTCTTATTCAGGACCGCACGATATTTGTTAGTAGTTACATCGCCTGTTATTTCTGGCTATGACCCTAGAGGCGGAATAGAGATATAAGCAGTCATTGATAAAATATAATATTTACGGTGCCAACATTAGTTCGACTCTGGATACATTCTATTTCTAGACGCGGGGCGAGGCGACGAAAGGTGAGAAGTAAGAGAAGGGATAGAGAGAATTTTACGGAAAGAAAACTTAGTTTTATCAATGAGTAACTACGCGCGCTTATACTACATAACGTTAATTTCCATGCCGGTGTAAGCCCTGTTGCCACTTCCAATCTAACATCACTAGGTTTTGGAATTTGTTGAAAATTATTACATCTAATTTAGTGAACTTACATCTAATTTAGTGAAATTACATCTAATTTAGTTAAATTTAATATAACTAATATTCAAAATTTTTTGGGTTCAGTTGCAATAAAATAGGTTGAATTATTTTAGCTTTTTAAATATAAGTAAATAATTTTGTAAACAAAACGAGAATAATGAAATAGCCATATGATATAGATTAAAACTTATTTAAACTTTGCCTCCCACTTCGGTTTCACAAGCTGAATTTTTCAGGGATGATAAGCTAACCCTTATTCCGGAGGTAATACAAAATTAGATTGTGCAAAAGGGCATTATCATAAAAAATCGAGTTATTGATACCACCGTATAAAAAAAAAGCTTATTTTTTGTTCTAATGCTTAATTAGATCTTTGTAGGAAGTATTTTTTATAATTATTAAAAAAAATCATTTACATTAGCACTTATGGTCGAAAAAAAAATTAAACGTTAATATCTTGGTTTCAACCGTCTACAAATTTTTATAAAAATCTTCTTTTAGAAATATACCTTTCATTTGACGAAAAACAAAGGCCTAATTGAAAAAAAACTATTTTTCATAAAAGTTTCGCCTATGTATTGACAAGGTAAAACTACTTTTTTAATATATTTTGCTTTTAAATTAACAAAAATATAGCAACATTAAAGGCAGAGCCTCTCGACTCTTTATGCATCTCTCTCAGTATTGAAATGTATGCAATCAGTTTGACTCTCTTATATTATTTATACAAGCATTATTGATTTATCCACTATGAATAATAGGGTGTATTAATTACTTCAAGATTTTACTTTTGGAAGAAAATGAAAAATAAGAAAATATAAACTATTTATTGAAGTATCGATTATAAACAGTAAGGCTATTGCTTTGCAAAATACAATAAATCACCAATTTAAAAAAATTATAATAATAATGTAGGAAATTCACTAGTGTGGCTTGATAAAAAGTCTAAACGTCTTTAATAATAGCTTTTAATATGAAATTGCAAATACAAATATAACGTCTTAATTACATTCAAAGAATAATCATATATGACACTTTCATCCCCTGTCAGCCATTTTAATAATCAGTAGCGTAGCTTGGATCCCATAATAATAATTGGAAGGAAGTATATAAAGCATAAATTAATAATATTACAATTTGTAATTACAAGACTTTCAAACTAATCAAAATCAGATTCACCACACGAATCAACATTTTCCAAAACATTAGCGGCTATGGTCAAACTATTTCTGCAGTTTTTCTGTGCCGTACAGGTGCAGGAACCGATACAGCAAATATTTTTTTCCTGCATTTGCAAATTTTGCTTTCACAGTCTAGAACAGAATATTATTGTTGGAATATTGTATAGTATCTTTTTTGCATTTGCTTAGCCAAATATTTAGCTAGTAAAAACATCTTAAACAATGTAGTATTAGGGCGTCTTCAATCGGTGGCAATTTAGCGATGATTTTTAAAGAGGCCAATAATCCCCTCAAAATGTTAATGTAAGTAACATTGGCAGTTTTGAATAAATTTGTATGAAAATTCTTTCAAGATTAGAGAATATGTTTTCAGAGTACTGATCAGTGCCAAATCTATCCAAAAAGTAATGGTGTTCAAGGTGGGTTTTCCAACAGGTTCTTTTCCCAATGCCGGACAATTGGCTGGTTGTATTACAACCGGTCAGAGAATGAAAAGCAGGCACATTTTTTAAAAGGTTTTCATCCAAATTTAAATAATGTACTGCTAGAAATCGTCTTAAGTCTCCTCGCCCTGTTCTGAACCATATATATTTAGTCAAAAACTTCTTAAAATAAATTAATAAGACTAGAACATCTGTATCGTTGCAATAAATAATGCAGCGTGAATGCCCCGAATTTTTGGCTGACAATATGTGCAATAAGATACGATTATCAGAGTCTTCGTGATTTGAATTTAAAAAATCGTCTTCTGATAGTTCAAAATTCTTCCCATATTTATTGATTTTCACGAATCCACCACTAGTTACAAATTGAATATGCTTTGAATGAAGTTTTGAAGAAGTTGCTCTGGCAGAAAATTTGTTAAACGTCTTTTATTAAATATCGAATGAATAGACAAGTGCTATTGTTGCCGAAGTGGAATATTGGGTCGGTCAAAACTTATAACTTACCCAAATGTATTCAGCTGCAACAGGATGAATGTAGATATAATAAAGATGCAAAAATGTCTATATTTCTGCCCAATTTATTAGGTAATTTAATATATAACACATACACTTATTAATTCTTTAGTAAAAACAGATAACAATATGACACATTGACAATGACATAACAAGAAGTTTTGTAATAAAAAAATTAAAAAATCCTACCATATCAATTGATGGTGAAGAGAAAGATACCTATGACATCTCATCGTTTATTGTTATATCTTTGTTAATTCAAAATCAAAAAATATGGTGTTTACTGTGTTACCTTATCAACACATAAGCAAACATTTTATAAAGAATTTTTTTTTTTTCATTTAGGTCTTCGTTTTTTGTATTAAATAAGTGGTAGATTTAAAAAGACGACTTTTTAACTAAATTTTTGAAGGGCTAAAACCAAGATATTTACGATTATATTTTTTTTTTCGGCCGTAAGAGCTAATACAAATGATTTTTTTCAAATAAGTATAAACAATTACTTCCTACAAAGATTTTTTCCTACGAACACCTAAGAAAGTGACACATATCACACTATATAGTCCTATGGAAAGTGCCCTATATCACACGCGTATGAATAAGAATTTACTTTCCACCCGTGTACGAATATGCTACTTTCCGCATTAGCTGTCACAAAATGTCAAATGCATCATTTCTATTTTGATCTATGTAATGTCCATATTAATACTAAAATCGATATGATTGTTAAATTATTGAATTTGTTGTAAATTAGATCCTAGATATTTATCTTTAACAATTATTATTAAAATAATTTTAAAATAACAAGTTATGTTTACTTTTTATTCTTGTTAATTAAGTACATAACCGATTAGATCATTCTATTGATGCAAATTTTTTGGGTGGCTAGTTTTGAAATGAAATCCCTGTATGTCTTATTCAGAACCGCACGATATTTGTTAGTACATCTTCTGGTTATCTCTGAGGCGGAAGAATATTAACGTTGTCATAAATATACCGTTATGAAAAAGACCCATTTATTATCAAAAAATTCTAGATTTAATAATAGTATGTTTTTACTTTCAGATAAAAGATTATTTTTTTACTGTAATAATCAGTTTTGTACTGGGAATTATAGTAACATTAGCAATTGAAGAGCCTGGATTAATATTACAAAAGAAGTACTTACCACAAGTATCCAAATGGGTCCACCAAATTAAGGAAAGAAATCAATAGAATTAAGTTAAAATAACAATTTTGTGTTTAAAACTTTTTTGTTTCAGTTTTTAATATTCAGTAGAGAATTTGTTTTATTATTTATCCAGTATACTTTCAGTAAAAGATAATTTTTGTTTTTTTTTATTATTTTGGCACTACAGGGGATCCATCGCACGGTACCTTCTAGGTATAATCCAGGATCGTATTTAAATTGGATGTTACAATCACAGCAGGAGGTTAAAAGTCGATTCTCACTTGTGCTACATTCAGCTTAACGACGCTACGCTACAAATTTTCACTAGATAAATAAGTTTTAGGTATAAATTGATACAGTAATATAAAACACTATTGGTTACGATGCATCGTATCGTCGTGCGACAACATTCGACTAGTTCCGTGAGCGATTTTTGGTACCACGTATCGCGACGTAACCCGTTTTTAATGCTGGTCTTTTTGAACTTCAAAGTTAAAGCTTGTTTTTTTTAAATATTTTCAGATTAAAAATTATCAATACAAAATTATGTTTTATTAACTGAATCTCATATTATTCTCTTAGAAATAAACGTTGTTATATAATTTATAAACTTGGGACTGCTGGCGGTGACATACGTCCGTGTCGTCACTTTGTTTATTGAACATGTCATATATGGAATTGGTAATGATTTCGTATTACATAACTTGGTTTTACACGTACAATGTACGGTGTACGTATTGTATACTGGTTGGCGACTTAATACAACCATTGTATTTAGATATCCTAGTAGATCAACCTTATGGACGTTTCATTGGAGGCAATTCTGTCGCCACATCTGTTAGAACTATACATAACTTCATCAAAATGGCTCGTGTGCTAGGCGCTCCCTCGATCATTGAGTATAGAATTCTTTATACATAAAGTTTACTTAATTTTTAAATTCTTCTGGGTAGACTGTCAAATTTAAATTTGTGTTGTTTATATTCTCTAAAATGATGATAAATCGTAAATAAATGTTCATCAAGCATAATTAAACTCATATAATTTATTTTTAAAACAAATATTCTGAATCGATTATTGTTTCAGTAAATAAAGAAATTACGTTCGTTGTTCAGTTTTGACAACCGTTCGATGGCTCGGTAGAAGACGACAAAATTATTAAAGACATGACTTGGACTCCACGGAGCTTGCTAATGATACTGTTCATTATCCTTCAAGATAATTTGCATCGGCATTGTTCTACTAGTTGATCTAAATAAAATGATAAAACAAACATTATTCCAGCACGAGCCACGCCCACACTTTTACATTATTAGCTAAACGCGGCTGCAGCACATATTCTTACATATTTTGTATCCTAGCACACCGTCAAAAAAAAAATTATTTCTACATTCATGTGTTCTGTAACGTGTTTAAAATTAATGTTAAAACAATTATTAAAGAGTTACTATTAAAAAAATATATGCATTTGTTACATCCGATGAGCCATCTTTCAAAAAACTATAATTTTTTTGTCGCAAATCCATTCACTTTCTTAATTTTTATATCAACGTTTGGCATTCTTTTCTTATAGTTTATGTATGATCACGAGATCGACTGTTAAGTTTAACTTTATTAAAATCTAAGTGATGAAAAACAAATATTTTTTCTATATTCCAGTTTCTGTAATTTTGACCAAGATCATCTTACTATCCACTGACTTTTTGTTGTATCACAAGAACGTTTTATCAAATTGTTACATTGTTTATTGTTATCCAAATTATTTATTTTATTAATTTCTTAAATGAATCAGAAATGTCACAAAATATAAAGCAGAGGAACTAGTAGTTTGTGCAACAAAAAGAATAGGACAGGGGCGTGCGGTCCATGGAAGCGGAGAAAGCACCGCTTACCTACACTTTAGGAATTAAAAATAGATATTTTTCAGTTTAAAATGCGTAGAAATGAATATTAAAGTAGGTACTATATTTTCTCTAAAACATTACGTAAACTTCGTAAATGTACTAACATTTCATTGGTGTAATGTGTAAACACACGCACCACCTATGAGAAAATTAATTGTGTAAACGTACATACCCTATACTTCGAGTCCGTCGGCGGAAGCACGTCTTGGACGAGCCGGTTCATCTTCCAATTAGTTTAGCTTCGTGTTATTGACCCTGCTTTGCCGCGACAGTGTTGTCAGCGAAAGGCAGCGATTTTTACGTCGCTTTCTCTCATCACGAATCGACGTGTAAGGAAAATCGTAGATTTCGGTTTGTTTTTCGTAGTTGTTTTTCTTTTTGTAAAATGGAGGAACTATGCACTGTGCCTGTGAACAATAATAATGTGGTAAATTGTATCTGTATTGTGAGCTCTTTGTTGAAAAAAGGATTTTCAAGTAGAAATTTTGAAGAGAAAATGGACATTATTAATTCTAGTAGACTAAAGGATCCTATCAATTTAAAGACGTAAGTAGAAAAGTCAGCAAAGAAATTTACCAGGCATTTCCACTATGAAAAGTATGAATGGTTAACCGGATGCAAAACTTTGAAGAAATTGTTTTGCTGGCCTTACCAACTTTTTAATATAGGCGAAAAAACACATTGGAACTCAGTCGGCGTTACAAACTTGAATAATTTTCACAAAACTGTAAAACGACATGTAAATAGCAAATCTCATATAAGTGCTACAATTAAAGAAAGAACATTCGGGACCTATCGCATTGAACATAGTTTGGACAATCATTTAAAAATAAGCAACAAAATTCACAATGAAAGGGTAAAAAAATAGGAACGTCTTACAACGATTAATAGATGTAACTTGTTTTCTAGGAGAGCATGAACTAAGTTTTAGGGGTCACAACGAAGCAAGTGGATCCGCCAATCGAGAAAATTACATGGACCTTCTAGGTTTTTTAGCAAAATATGATGATCCCCTTAAAAATCATTTTATTGATTCGACGACTTTCCGAGGTGCCTCAAACAGAATCCAAAATGATTTAATTAAATGCACTGCCGACGTTGAGATGGATCACATTAAAAGTGAAATTAAAAAGCACCTTTCGTATAAATTACGCTTGGTAAAACCACAGATGTAGCAAACTTAAGTCAATTATCCATTGTTGTGCGATATATATATTGGATGGCATTCCTCAAGAGCGATCTTAGGATTTTTGGACGTCACTAGCGAACGAACTGCAGATACATTGTTTAAAATTGTTTGTGACATTATTTCAAGTTTAGAATGTGGTTCTCAGCTTGTTGCCCAGAGCTACGATGGTGCTGCCATAACAGCTGGCCATTTAGGAGGCCCTCAAGCTTAAGTGAAAGAGAAGTTTAACCATGCAATTTTCATTCACTGTATAGCACATAGACTTAATTTGATTTTATCGCGAAGCATGGATAATATTAAAGATTGCAAAGTTTTCTTTTTGACGCTTAGTGATTTGGCTTCCTTCTTTTTAAAGTCTTTTAAAAGAACTCGCACTTTGGACATTCACGTTCAAAAAAGGTTTCCAAAAGTTGCTCAGACGCATTAGAACTACAACGGACGTTTAGTGCAAACATTGTTTCAAGACCGTGATTCTTTGATACACTTTTTTTAAGACGTTTGAGATAATAAAGAAACATGAGTTGCTGAAACTGTTACTGCCGCTAAAGGGTTTTTGCATTGTCTCAAAAAACCTTTAATTTTATTTTTTTGCTCAACATTTTTGCAGAGATTTCCCTTTTTACTGACATTTTATTCGACATTTTACAGACAAATTTAAATTACATTGGCTTTTGCATTTAACAAATTGATGATTTTAAAAATAAAATGAATAAAAAACGAGATCAGTTTGAACACTTTTGGAATAAGACTCAAAACATTGGCTTAGAACCTGAAAGAAAGAGAATTAGAATTGATAATGTCAGCGACAGAGAAACCTCCTATCGTCGATTATACGCCGACATTTTTGATAATATTTTACAACAAATGAACTCTCGATTTCAAAACTTTAACGAATTAAAATTTGCTGAATTCTGCAATTTTAATATTAGTAACTACGATTCATCAAAATTTCCATCGGAAGCTTTTAATTCACTAAAATTAAATTATGGAAATGTTTTCGTTATTCCAGCATTAAAGTCCCAGTTAAGAGTTGTTTATGAAACAACTAAAATTAGTAATAAAAAGACGCCTATTAATGTGTTAAATTTTCTTATAACAACTGGTTTAAATAAGTCCCTTTGTGAAGTCGTCAAGTTGTGTGAATTAGTACTAACCATCTCAGCCACAAGTGCGTCAGTTGAGAGAAGTTTTTCAGCTTTAAAGCGCATTAAAAGTTTTATACGAAATTCAACAAGTGAAGACAGACTCTCTTATGTAGCCCTAATATCCATTGAAAAACAGCTTGTTAAACAGTTATCAGAAAATCCAAAATTTTACGACGATGTTATAGACACATTTGCAACCATTGAGGATAGGCGAATAGATCTTAAGTATAAATAAATGTCAACTGGTGTGTCAACTGTGCGAAAAATGCTGGAAAAAATAAAAAAAGACTCCAATTAAATGTTTTTTTTTATGTTTAAATAAACCAAGAAAGCTTTTCAATGGTAGGTTTTTGTATAGCTTCTAGTACTAAACTAGGTAATAAAGTAATAAATAGTAACACTTCAAAAATCTCAATCTCAAATATCCGTAGTACTAAGGATAAAAAAGCAAGATTTTAACAAAATGGTGAATGCGCCGTAAAAAATTTTCGCCTGCGGCAATGTGCTTACTGGCCTGCTGTATTTTAATACAATCACTTTCCCTTCCAAAAATGTCACCGTACACCACTGAAATAGGGACAATCCATTCGAGTTGTACAGTATATTTTGTAGGTTATTTAGATAAAATAACCAATGTAAAAATAATTTATGACTTTTACTAATATGTAAAATAAAATATCGCGACGAATTGAGAACCTCCTCCTTTTTTAAAGTCGGTTAAAAATAACCACAATAAAATATTTAAAATAATTATTCTCCATCCTACATTTGAACCCGCCCCTCTCGCATACAGCCAAATGCCCAGGTCTCTGCTCCATCGAAAACCTTAACATTTTTAGTTTTAATACAAATTGATTTCATATGTTTTTATTAAAATTTTGGATTTATTTGTAAATGTAGACGAAATAAAAATAGA